AATCGACTGTTAATACTGGTTTGCGTTTTGTATTCATAAATGTCTCGGTAAGCAAGAGTCGCCACCGAATTTTATTTTATCCAATCAACGGAAAAGGAAAAAGAACAGAAAAAACCTTTTTCGAGATGTTTCTGAGCACCGGGTGTAGATTATAGAAAGGGAAGGTGTCAACACCCTTTCTATCCATGGTTTTCCATGGGCTCTTAGGTACTTGCTCATTTTGAAATTGCCTTTATGTGTTTATGTTTGCTTGTTTTGAAAAGTTTTGTTTTACTTTGTTTTAACCATTGTTTTTGTCCTCAAGAGTGTTACAAAGTTGTTTTTGAAAACTTTGTTTGGGAAAGTGTTGATGTGAAAAAGTTTTTGTTTGTTTGAGCAAGTACCTAGGAACTAATCTACCTACTCGAAAAAGTATGTTCGTTTTCCTTTAGACAACGATAACCTATTATTAAGGAATAGGTAGCACCGTCGTTGGATTTTTAAAGGGACGTTCGAAGGGAAGAAATGGTCTCTAAAGGAAACAAGTAAGGATACCTTAGCATTTTGAAGGGACTATCGTCATAAGATCAATTTGTAGGCAACTCGAGGGACAAGTAGGGACTATGATTTTTATGACGACTTTGAATCACTGGTAATTGCTAAGGTATCCCTTTGTTCGAGGGACACGACCATTATTTCTGAGGAAACCAATGAGGCAAACCCTAGGAGTGAGCATGTGCATGTGTTTGATTTCAGTTATTTAATCTTTGCACAATTAAGGTGATCTATTGTTTTAATTTTATTTGTCTTTTGCATGCAAGCCTATTATCCATACATCTAGACAGTTCATAGTTGCGGAAATTAAAAGCGAAAAAGTAAATCTACGCTATTACAAGGCATCAGGGAGGGGGTTACATGACCAAAAATCGGGGATTAAACAGTAAATAATATCCGGTAAACTCTAATTAAAAACTATTACAAACCCGAAGCAAATACAATAATCGGAAAATAAAATATTGTGCACGAGAATTAAGTACGGGAATCAAAGTTTAAATTCTAAAATCTAATCAATTAAAGAGAAACTATTTTTTTGTATTTTATTGTTAAGAAAAATATTTGAAATCTTAACCTAAATCTAATTAATTAAAGAAAAATATTTTTTGGTATTTTATTGAGAAAATTAAATATTTGTGAATTAAACCTAATTTGTCTAATTAATTTGAATTATGAAAACAATCAAGTCAATATCATTAAATTAATTATTTTCCAAAAAAAAACTAATTCTACATTTTTGTGATTTTCTTGATTTTATGATTAAATAAAAAAATGATTTTTTTTGTTGTTTTGTAAAAAAAGAAATTAATCAAATAAAACAAAAGAAAATAAAGAAAGAAAGTAATTGGGCCCATGGTGAAAGTAGATTGGGGGTGTGAAGCTGAATTTCATTGAGCCCAAATCCTTTGGCCCAATCAGGCCTTTAGATCCAGTGCTGGCCACGTTTGAGGGTTCACCATGGTCTGCATGTGTTGAGTGTTAGATCTGGATATGATGAGATCTTGTGGTATGGTGATGGAAGTACATGAGGAGCGCGCAGGGACATGGAGCATTGGATCTGAAGACACAAATTAGTGAAAATTAACTTTGCAAAAGGGTTGGATCGAACCCACCCCCTTTTGGACTAAAGCCTTATCATGCCTTGACTTGCCAACTGAACCAAGCGTGTTAATTTTTAACAAAATAATACAAAATAAATATAGGGCAAATAAAGATCTATGACCACATGTCAAAAACATACGCGCTGTGGGTTCCCAATGGTTTGAATGGACGAATCAATGAGCACTACGCCATCACCTTCTTCAGGGATCCGTCATTTTAGATGGGGAACTTTTACCTACAACATTTTTCCCTCACTATAGGTTGTAGTGACGAATTTTGTTCGTAACTCAAAACCTACAAAATTCGAAAACACAACACAAGGAGAATAAATTCAAACTAAAGGCATGAATCAATTGCAAATCATCTCCTGAGCATGATAGTACCCCTAATTTTGTCCAATTTTTCCTTTATATAGAATTCCCAATTTGGGACCTAAAAAGCCTAACAATGGCATCGTGCCATTAATGTAGTTAAACTTCAATCAAACCAATCAAAAACATTGCAAATATGATAGCAAGCATGGATATATGATCAAAACATGTTTATGATGGATAAATCATTGAAAACGAATCTTGAAAAAATATGCAAACCGTGTGTTGTACCCAAAAATTTTCCCTCTCATTTCATCAACATTTTTCATCACAAGACTCTTGGAACTCAAGAACAAGTTAGGGTTTGCTCTGCTCAAGACACCTCCTTACACTGTTGACCTAAATTAGGGTTTGAGTTTGCACAGTGACATTTTGACCAACAATGCCCAAATTGACTTTCATACTTCATGTTGGACTCACAAGTTTGTCCATACCAAGTTTCAAGCCTTGATCCAAATTTTTGCCCAGTCAATTGGACAGTTGACCTAGAAATCAGCTGTATTGGGGAAAAAGTCAACTGTGGCCAATTGACAGTCAAACTTCCTGAAATTTGACCCACATCAATATTATTAACTCATATGAACCATTTGATCAAGTTTGGATCATAATTCCACAATAAATTTGATCAGATCATCAAAAGGGCAAAATGGTCATTTTTAGGGTTTTGACTATACAAAGGCAATTTTTGACTGTTTGACCTAGCCAATGACAAATCAAGCTCAACCATGGACTCAAGGACTCAATGAAATTGTCTTGACCCATTCAACAAGTTCAAAAGATCTCAAATGCCTAGGATTGACAGATAAATTTTTCAGTCAACTGATCAAAATTTGACTATATGCTGATAAGTCAAACTTTGACTTTTTGGTCAAAATCAAGTGCCAAGGGTCATTTTTCATCAAGAAATGTCAAATTATGAATCTTGTTCATCAAGAAACCCAAAAATGCAAATTAGGGTTTAAAATGGAAAATTTTCATAACTTAGAAATTTTCTAAGTTATGAAATTTTCCTATTTTTTCCTAACATTGTCCCATTTGTTCACCAAGATTCAAATGGATTCAAACAAAACTTGCAACATGAAAGTTGTAGTCCATTAGAAAGTCTACAACTTTTATTCACAAAGTTTTCTCAAAAGAAGCTTGTATCTCAAGTTATGATTTTTGGAACAAGGGTACCTAAAACTTTTAACTTAGAAACATTTTGCCCTAGTTTAGGCAGGATTTTGACCCATCTTCTTAGCCATTTTTCACATAGTTACACTTGGAGTTTCAAGTTTCATTTCAAATATGGATTGTAGTACATGTTGAAAGCTTTCTAAATTATCCAAGAACTCCTCAAACACCTTTGTGGTTAGGGAGAATCGAATGCTTGAAGTTGGCAAAAACTCACTTTGATCCATGGCCAATACATGTTCATACCACTTGCCAAATCTGATCTAGCTAGCTTGGTTCACAATTACAGGCCTCTAAACCAGTTTGTATTCCATAATTTAATTCAAATCCATTGAGCCAAGGCATTGTATTGATCATTAGGGTATTGTACACTAGATTAAGCCTTAAATAGAAAAAGTAACAATGCCATTTTTGCTTGAACTTTGCTTTATGTGAAAACAACATCCTAGAGCATTGAACCAGATCTTATGCTACAAAAAAAATCCACTAATTAGAGGGGCCAAGAGGGTTGTGTGCAGGGTGATAGGATGGCCTGTACAAGTCTATAACCTCACTTCCACTCTTTTGCTTCAAGAAGAAGAAAACTTGCAAAACACAAGGCATCTCTCACATCTGATAAAACCAACTAAAACAAAGTTGTCAAACAGTTTTCATACACCCTAACAAGCCATAAACACGAGTCCTGGACCTCTCAAAACTCCTTGTGCACAAATTCCCCATTTTCTTGCAAAACAGGGCCAGTTCTGCATTTTGCAAGCCATCATCAAATTCCATCGTGCGTTTTGCCCAAAGATACTTCAAACACCTTCCAACCAACACACTTGAACTATTCCAGACCTCCATTGCTAGCCGTAACACCATTAACACACATTGCCATTTTTGTTTCAAAGCTTTGCAGGTTGAGTTCTGTAGCACGATTCAAGCTACTTCAAAACAAACTAAGCATTGGGAAAGCTTCATTGGACCTCAGGCAAGCTCAAAAGAAACTCAAGCACCCTTGGAAGTTGCTGCATTGTCCAGTTCAAATTCAACTAAAACAGGTATTTCATGAGCTTCTATCTCTCTATTTAGGAATAGTTAGACTTAGGTTTGTGAATGAAAGATGTTGTATTCATAGCCCTGAAACCATACATGTGCTTAGTTTTCATTTATATTAATCGTGCTAGGAGAATTTTGTCCATGAACTTTCTGAAAAAACTAGGTTAAGAATTAGGGCCAGAGAAATTCTCTCTGGTCTTTGAGAGTTAACTTACGTTTTTTATATGGTTAAATTCGTTGTTGATGCTTTACAAGTTTCATGTTATGAGTTTTGTCAAAAAAGCAAGGAATCGGGAGATAGCATCTTGTGTATAGAACGCGTGTATTTCAGTTCAAAGGAAGAAGATGAAGTTGTTTCTGGGTTGGGCCTGTACAGACTTGCTTTTGGCACCCCCCCTCTTTTCTTTTTACACCCCCTGGCCCATTTGTTATATATTTGTCATTTTTGCATTTTTATTTTTTATTCTGACTTTATTATTTTATGTCCAAATATAAAAAATGCCAAAAATTATTTTTATATTATTTTACATTTATTTGGTATTTATTTTTATTTTTTACTAGTATAAAATTATTTAAATACTTCATATTCTTTTTATTAAAACTTAAAAATAATATAAAAAATATGTTTATTTTCATTTATTATTTTATACACATTTGAAAACATTTTCTTGAAAATATACCTTTTTGTAAATAATTTATTTTATTTTTATACACACTTAATATATTTAATATATTTAATACTAGTAAATTTTTGGGCCAATTCCCCCTTCGTACTACCAAAAAATGAGATTCTTGCCGAATCCGAGTTTGCTGCTCCAACCATTACCAAACTTATACCTATTCTGTTTAGTACTTCAGGTGCTTCTGTTGCGTATAATGTAAATCTCGTAGCGGATCAATTCCAACGAGCCTTTCAAACAAGTACTTTTTGTAATCGACTCTATAGCTTCTTCAATAAACGCTGGTTCTTCGATCAAGTTTTGAATGACTTTCTAGTCAGATCGTTCCTGCGTTTCGGATATGAAGTCTCATTCGAAGCTTTAGACAAAGGTGCTATTGAGATATTGGGCCCTTATGGTATATCGTACACATTCCGACGATTGGCCGAGCGGATAAGTCAACTTCAAAGTGGATTTGTTGTGCGAAGAGTGCGTTATGACCCGTGGCCGCCTGCCTGGTCTGGTGGGGTCCTCCGTTGTGGGTAAACGGGAAACCCGACTCTACGAACCCGAGGAAAGGCTGCACAGCAGTAGTAGGGGCGTGAAGACCGGAGCTTTTTGTAGTGCTAGCAGGAATGCAAGTGAATGAATCCCATCCCCTAGCGAGTGAAGTGCTTACGCCCCTTTAGATTAGAGATAGGGGCGCGCTAGCGTTATAATAATAATAGAAAGGTTAGGGGGCTGAGAAAAGCTTGCTGTCTACTTATCTTCACTGCCCCGTTCTGTAACTTCCCTTCTTTAGTCCGTCCACGAGGCTGTAAAAAGATAGAGGGGCGGCTATATAGCGGGAGTCGTTTCGGTTGTATGCCACGAGGTCCCTATGGACAAGGGGACAAGTTAATCATCGCTTTTGGGCGCAGGCAGCCCTCTACCATCCATCCCATTGCATTCCATCGTCTCGTATTGTACTGTACCGTACCAGATACATCTATTGAGTGAGAGAAAGGTAGCTTCTCTATAGATATATTATTCATTTTTTCTATTGATAGGGATCCCCAGATTCCCGTCACTACGGATTGATTGTCTCTACCTAACTACATGGTAGTGGTCTAGGGAGCGCAATTGCTAGAGCACGGGAGAATGAAGAGTAATGATTTCAGCAAGAGCAGCCGGACGGACTACTATAGTGAGTCCTGTGACTACTAGAGTAGAGTTGAGTCAAAAGGTATGGTATAGCAGCCTTTCCGAGCGAGCCTCTGGGATCTCCTGTAAACCCCCATGATGTGGTAAAGGGAGGATATTAGGGGAAGCAGTGAGTGGAGATTCCCCTGCAGAGAGCCGGATGAGGGGAGACCTTCACGTCCGGTTCGGAGGGCGGGGATATCCCGACCCTACTATCATTATGCCTTTGCAATGTTACTTGGTTAAACTCTATTTGTGACCTTTTCTCGTATGTGGGACTCTCTATCTTCTTGGGTAGATAATCGATCGTCTTTCATTTTGATAGTTAGTAGTATTTATTATAATAAGTCAATAAATAAGAATAAATAATAATAGAACTGGAGGAGCTAAAAGCCGGGATGGCTTGGTAAGCAAGCAACCTGTTATGTAGGCGCCAACTCCCATTTCTTTCTCTTCTTTCTTTTTGAAAGTCACGATAAGAATGAAAGGTAGTTCGCTGGGCCTGTATTTTGATCCCAGAGGTGCTGGTTCGACTCCAGCTCGTGAGAAGGCTTTTTTTTTGTCATATCCCTTTGTCTCGCTTGTTCTTATTCAGTTCCTTTGTCCTTCCATCGCTCAACTATTTGTTGAACATAGAATTCGCCCGATATAAGATTAGTACCAACTGGGATCATAAAGCGGATTGGGCTAACGGAAAGGGAGGAGTCAGTCGTTCTACCATCGATTACAGGCAAACCTTCCCCGAGCTACAGCCCTCACTGTCGATTCAAGACACAAACAACTACCTGTACCATAACCACTGGCATATGCGGTATGCGGGTGTCAGGTCTAGGTCTAGATGGAGGTTCTCGTTCCAGTTCTATTTCTAGTTGAAAACAACAAATTCAAATTTAATCACCAAGTGGATATCTCGAGAACTAAAGGTGCCAAGCCTCGGATTCGACTTGAAATGAGGATAAGGCTTCCAGCTAGATATGTATGATTCACCCGGTACCTGGTATTGGTAGTAGCATTAGTCTCTTTCCCCTCCCTCTGTATGAGTTGAGAGGCTGAGGGGAAGTCTACTAACTATAGGGCTACTCCACCTGACTCACGGTCGCTCCACGGGAAACCACCACTAGGAGACGAAGCAAGCCGAGGGTTTCGAGGCAGATATCGCCATGACACGGTAGTAGGGAAACCGGTCCTTGTAAGCAGCACTAGAGAGGGGATAGAGACTCGAGACTTCAAACTAATGTCCTTCTTCCTCTGAGCCAGGTTCCTTGTAGAGTCTATCTACTAGAGACATTAACGGTGCTCACCCGGGGTTGGGAAAATTAAATACTCGAATGGAACGCCCTCCATCGTAAAGTTCGGCGGACACGGAAGAGCTAGTTCATAGGGCTCGTGCAGTCATGGGACCGACGGTTAAAAGCTCGGGATGATGATGGGGCTAGCAACAGGTCCTCAAAGAAGCTAGATCTCTTGGGCGCTTTGTTTCCCTTGTAGCCAAGTCATACTCATTCCGTACGACGAAGGATTGGGCCTTCGAGGTCGGAACTCATCACATTACTGGGTAGATCAGTTGGGGGATAAGGGTTTTAGTTCAATAAAGGTGCTTCTCATTATATCGAATAATAAGTTAGGCCTGTAGTGCTCCGGGATTCTAACCCGTTCCCTGGTAGTAGAGAGAGAGATCCGCATAAGCCGTGCTGGGGAATACCAGCTAAGTAACTCGAAACTGGTAACTATAGCCCGCTCGCCTTTCGCTACTCTAAGTCAGCATGTCCCTTCTTTGGCAAAGGCTACTCGCTCGCGGTATACTTTGCTAGCTTGATTGCTGGCTCTAAGCCTACCTCCTTGACTACATCCTGATAACCGCCTGCCTGTCTTGACAGAAGAAGCAGTGCAGTAAGCGTCTCCGGACATAGAAAGTAGGCAATCACTTGAACTTCGTTAGCGGTGTAGGTTTCAGTCGTAGTTTCTGGTATCGACACAGACAGTGGGAAATCTCTATACGATTGAAGTCAGTGTGCGCAAGACAAAGTCTAGTTTTTACTTTGAGTTCCTCTTATAATAAAATAACATATAAGAAGCATTCCACAGTCGTAGGTACTCAATTCAATTGGATTGAACTGCTTGAGCAGGAGCTTTGGACTCGACGAGGTCTTGGGTGCTTGCCCTATTTAGAGTCTCTTCCATTCTCTCTTCACCAGATAGATAGACAAATAGGCAATCCGATAGAGAGATTATGGCTTCCTCACTATCAGCAAGCTCCCACAGGCGATGAACTACTTCCGACTTATTCGGTTTGTAGCCATACCGTATAGAGTGCAAAATACCTTTGTTTGGGAGTAGCTAGATTAAAGCAAGATAGCTGCGGATTCTGTTCATAGAGAGCCCCATTCCTCACTCACAAGCTCTTTCTCAGCCCCTGGTTGAACCTAACGAGTGCATTCAGTTTAATGTCCAAAATCAGTTGAAATTGAAAGGACGTACAATCGGCGAGAAATGAAGTTCCTTTACTTAGGGCTTAAAGCCCTTCTTGCCCTAAGTCTAATCCCTAATCATGCGCAACACATGGACTTTCAGTCCTGCTTTCAGGATTTGATGCTCTTTTGAGACAGCTTTCAATAGAACATAGAGCTCTGCCCTTCTGGCTGTCCTAACGAGTTCACTGCCTTACTTAAACGGAACAGTTAATCGTAGAGCAGGAGGAATTCTTTCTTTCTGTCCGCTAGTCAGGAATGGAATCGGACGCTACGAATACGAATTATTGGGGGAATTTTCGATATTAGACAAATAGGGCACTAGAACGCTATTCTTCCTCCTTCCCCGCTTAGGCCTTAGGGGCTTAGCTTAGGACATTAGCAGTAAGACTTCCGCAAGGTAGCAAAAGAAGGAGCAGCAGTGGAAATCACAGTAGTTGTAGCAAAATAATTGGCACGTTAGGCCCCCTCTCTAAGAGAAAATAGGGTAGGCAGGCTACTTGAATGGACATCTGAGATGGCATCAAGCCGAGCACAAAACTTATCTGGGCTGCTAGTAAGGAGGGCTGTGAAGCCTTCTAGCATAAGTGATGCCTTCCCAAGGTACTGGAATTGGGGAAACTCGACCGTGGAGATAAGAAAACCTGTCCTTAACGGGATGGTGCCCGAACCAAGAGCTAGTCCAGATTGCTTTGATAAAGATTTACCATTTCTGTGTACTTTAATCCCTCTCTCTATCGGATGAGAATCGCAAATGTTGGTTCTCATTGTGAGAGAGCCAGGCAAATGGGATTTATGGGGATGAGTCTATCTCCTATAGGCTTATTTTTTTTATCCCTATAGAGGGAAAGACGTTGGGGGGGTGGGGAATTCAAAATTACGACAGCTCGTTAGAGAACTTGACACTATCTATGATAATCTTTCTATTTGGTTTATTCCTATAGAGTAAAAAAATAAAAAGGAAGCAATAAGCACTCAGAGTTAGTATTAGCTTGCCATGCCAAGCAGGTAAAGTAAGAGAATAGCTTATAAGGAGTCAAGAAGATAGGAGGGAGGATAGCTATGATCCTGCCAAGGTTTTCAAAAAATAACGAACATTTTATAAAGATGGAAGCTAGGAATCCTAGTAGTTATAGGTCTCCGTTTTATTCAGGTAAAGTCTCCGAATATAGCTGTTACTGATAAGGTAGAAAAGCAAGGTTAGTTGTCGGTTTGGTAGTACATCGGAAGGTAGCAGAACGAAGTATAGCGAATGCAAGAGTAAAAAAAAGTGTTTTAGATACTGAAGCAGGTCGAGAGCCAGACAGGCTAACGAGCGAGTGTAGTTGCTTCAAAGCGGGATATGAAAAGGAACCGCAGCTAGGATAGTAAGGACTGTCCTCACAGAACCTGAAAAGAGATTGAATCCATTCGTCCGGGGAAGTTAAAAAATATTTCAAGGCTAGGGTTTTGGTTGCCTAAGACGTGATGAAGGGGTATCGGGAAGGAATTTAGCGAACAAGCTATAGCACTTGAGAATGAAGGGGGGAAAAAGCCACAACTGGATGATAGCAAGCCTGGGCTTACGTCGGGAAAAAGAGCGCTGCCTATTCATGTTCAGGTACGAAGTGTGAGTTCTGAAAAAACGAATAAACGAACTCGACCAGAAGGGGAATGGACTCAGGTTCGAGTTCTTATAGTAGAATGAAGATCGAGTGAAGGCCTTTGAAAAATGCAAAAGCTTCAGGAGCCAGGAGAAAGGAAAGAATAGTTACTTCCTGGGAGGAGGCGTAGGTGATAGGAAGCTAATCAAGGACAGGCTGAGGATTCGAACAGCTTTAAGAGAGAAGAGTAAGGGGGACCTTCAAGGAAGAAGTGAGATAAGCTAGGATGCGTGTGATAGAGTAACCCCTAGCGAGTATAAGTGGATCAGCGCTTCTTTCTGACCTGACGCAGTGCCCTTCATTCAGGGTTTCAAGGATCGGTATCGAGGAATCCCTGACTTGCCTTTTATTTCATTTCATTTCAGGTATGAAACAAATAGCAGTCCTGGTCTATAAGTAGAAAGGCTCAAGGAAATGCGAAGTATAGAGAGTATAAGATAAGCTAAGATCTAGACTCACAGATACCAACGAGCGGGATTAGCGCGGGGGAGCTTCAGGAGACTGATAGATGATAGGTAGGTGGGTGGGAAATAAAGAGAAGTGACAAATGATACTCTTAATGGATTTGTCCATTTTAATCCTTTTGAATGGGGCAAGAGCCAGCCCATTCTTATAGCATCCAAGGTAAATAAATGCCCATGGCAGCTCTTAAAAAGATAGGAGAGGAGTGTGAGTCAGTCGAGTCGAGAAGCAACTCATTTATAAGTAAAAAAAGTTTTCATTTGAATAAAGGGCGATTTCCAAGTTTCAAGGAAGAGTGGATTAGCCTCGAATATCTTGATCCACTAGAAAGAGAATTACCAGATACGAATACAAAAACAGTTGGAGATAAATAAGCCAAAAGCTTTAAGAAAGCTATTGTAAGGTCAGATTACAGGAAGAGCACAGGTCAGTCTTCTTCAGAAGTTCCCTTCCCGTCAGGTCAGGATAGGGCGAAAGTTGCTTTGTATTAAACGAGTGATTCAGAGTTGTCTTGCCTTTATAAATTCAAGCATGTCTGTTATGCTAGTTCATCTATAGAACGTCAAGACCTTGTCTTCCGTAAGCTAGATACTCGAGAAAGTAGATTAAGGTCATACTTTTTCCTTAGAAAAAAGCCCACCCACGTCTGGGTCTAAAGTTTGTCTGCCCATTAACAACAATAAAGCCAATTCATAGCGCAAGGAGGATAAAGGAAGGGTAGGAGCTATCCAGTAGAATGCTAGGAGACAAAAGCAAGAAGAGGACCTCGCTACACGAATTGAAAGGAAAGCTCGGACTTATAAAAGGCTTCGAATAACATACATAATCTCGTTCATTTTTCCTCCAGCAAGGAGCAGAGCCAGTTCAACTCATGAAATGGATGCTTTCGTAGGGGCTGTATGCCTTTTTATTCCTAAAGCTAGAGTTGGCCTGACCGGCTTCGCAGGATCATTTCCACTCTGTAGGCCGCTCATTCCTAAATAGTAAATAAAGTGCCTTTTCGATTCTTCCTTCCTGCTTGTGTGCTTTCCCTAGGAAAATTTACTCATTCTAGCTCTCCTCTACTTCAACCACTAAGCGCTTCGCTCCTTTAATTAAGAATATAAAATATAGCCTTTTTGGCATGAACATATAGCATGTGTGCCGTGAGGTCAATCACTGTCAGTTCTTCTTTCGAAATTGTCGAATATGATGAAGAGCTCTTCTCGGCTTGAGGCTTCTTTTCAAGCTGAGTAGAAATTTCATAAGATAAGAAAGTCGCGTAGAAAGGATTTGGATTCGAGGCTTGCTAAGTGAAGTCAACAAACAAAGAAAAAAAGCTTTATCCGAGAAAGCGTCTGTTCACGTCAGGGTCCGCAGGAGATGTAGTCACTTTGACTTTTATCGAGATTGGGTTGGTATTAAGTATACTCATGATCTTTCTTTTTTTTTCCGGTATGCCGCTCCGCCAGCAAGGAGTGCCACGCACGAGCGGAGCGAAAACAAAGCAGGGGGAATTATTCGTTGGGAGAAATCCTTTGATTGCGTATTGAATATAGATCCATGTCTTTCTTGTTCCACTAGCTAGGACAAAATTATCAGATGTCCCTTTCGTTATCGTTATTACAACCTTCTTTTTTGATGTCAAAGACCAGAAGCTGTGCGCTAATTCTCATTGGATCTCGGTTGTTCTTAACAGCGATGGCTATTCATTTAAGTCTTCGGGTAGCACCATTAGATCTTCAACAAGGTGGAAATTCTCGTATTCTTTATGTACATGTTCCTGCGGCTCGGATGAGTATTCTTGTTTATATCGCTACGGCTATAAACACTTTCTTATTCCTATTAACAAAACATCCCCTTTTTCTTCGCTCTTCCGGAACCGGTACAGAAATGGGTGCTTTTTTTACGTTGTTTACCTTAGTTACTGGGGGGTTTCGGGGAAGACCTATGTGGGGCACCTTTTGGGTGTGGGATGCTCGTTTAACCTCTGTATTCATCTCGTTTCTGATTTACCTGGGTGCACTGCGTTTTCAAAAGCTTCCTGTCGAATCGGCTCCTATTTCAATCCGTGCTGGACCGATCGATATACCAATAATAAAGTCTTCAGTCAACTGGTGGAATACTTTGCATCAACCTGGGAGCATTAGCCGATCTGGTACATCAATACATGTTCCTATGCCCATTCCAATCTTGTCTAACTTTGCTAACTTCCCCCTCTCAACCCGTATCTTGTTTGTTCTGGAAACACGTCTTCCTATTCTATCTTTTCCCGAATCTCCTTTAAGGTATGAAATAGAAGCTCGAGAAGGAATAGCAAAACCTAGTTTACTTCCCAGCTCAAACTGAACGCGATGTAATCAAACTTATGGTTGACGCCGTAGAGAATATAAAGCCCATATGCGAAGTGGAAAAAGTCGGAGTAGCAGGTACTATTTATGATGCCCTGGGGATTGTAGCCAGGGATCGTCAATGAACCTTAGCTATTCGTTGGATCCTTGAAGCAGCTTTCAAACGGCGTATAAGCTCTAGGATAAGCTTAGAGAAATGTTCATTTGCTGAGATACTGGATGCTTACCGAAAGAGGGGAATTGCACGTAAGAAAAGGGATAATCTTCATGGACTGGCTTCCACCAATCGAAGTTTCGCGCATTTCATATGGTGGTAAAGTGAGACCATATAAAGAGCTCTCTGATCCTCATTCAGTCAGATTCTTCAGTAAGATATGGTTTTACCCTTTTCCTTTTTGTTTGAATCTTCATTCATTGAGTATGAGGAATCCAAAAGCAGTAAGACCCCGATACAACAATAAGACAATAAAATTTTGTTACCTACACCTAATTCAAGACCGGTTAATGCAAGAACTATAAATAATAATCTATACAGAAAAAGGCCATGACCGAAGGAGACTACAACCTAGTTATGATTTTAAGCCCGGCTTTATTTTTTACCTTCTTACCTATTATGGTAAGGGCAACCCCTGTTGTCGACGGAATTCGTCATCGGTGAAATGCGAGTAGAATTCACGATAGATTTCTAAATTGCGGCCGCTTAGGTTTACTTGTTCTATAAAGAACGTCAGACTTCCATCCATGAGATGGCGCGGATAGGCATGTTCAAGGGAGCTAAGCGGGGAAACCTTCTCCTGAATGAAGTCGTAGGCTTCCTACCAACTATTTGAATAGGGAGATAGCTCCATAATTCGAGCAAGATTCTGCTCATCAAGCATCAGATTTAAGAGTTTATCCTGCAGACCGGCCTTTTTATCTAATACGCGTAGTTCGAGATACTCTCGATCAAAGATTTCCCAGTAGTGATCTACGTTTAGGGCTTGATCGAAGTGCTCTCGAACCAGCCTCGCGTAATCTCCCGGGTTATTATGAGGGGGGATATTGTAGTAATGCTGGTTCTCGAGAACCCTAATTCGCTCATATATTTCCGCTTCATTTTCTGCTGCGATAACATTTCGAAAAGTAGCCAGAGACTCGTAACTTGACGACGATTCCAACGCCGGCAGATTGAAACTGTCAGCGCCGTTGTCGAAACAGCAAATCCACTCAAAGTCCAGAGGCTGAGACCCCCCACAAGTCAGTCCAAATTTACTATATGAAATAAAGAGAGTATGAAATGAATATAGAGCCAATAAAGAACAATTAACACAATCAAACTTAAATTTTAGTAAAAAGGGGGAATGCCGCAGCTCTATAAAGACTAAGATGTTCTGTTTATATTACATTACCGAGCTAGCTGGTAATTAAATCCAAAAACTGAAAAACCTCGTTGCATAACCAACTATTTTGTCCATATAACATAACATCAACATATGAATCCTTGATAAAGCCTGGGATGTGAATAGCCTCGTCCCCAATCACTGTCCGAACAAGGCCCGGCATGCTCCATTCTGGGGGTAATTGCTTACCGGCTCTCACCACCCACTCTGCGTATTCATCACAGATTCGATCAAATACCCGCTCTAACTCAGGTGGAGCGCTTTGCGCGTCCGACCTAGTTGAAGAAAGAGTTGAAGAGGTACTTGACAAGAAAGATGGCCTCTCAAAAAAAAAAGAGAGACTCATTCTTGCTCTCAAAATTTAGAAAGACTTGTCTCCAATTTCCGGTTGGTCCAACCAATAAAGACATGGGAGTCTTTGGGCATTGCTTGGGCCGACTTAAGTAAAGACTGGTTACCTAGTGATTTACAACCACCCTCACTGCACACTGTCTATATCTGTCTACTATTGATTCAGGTGCAAAAATAAAAAGAGCTTATTATCAAACTTCCCCTTCTTCCTCAAAGCACTTTGACTCTTTAAGAACGGGAGTGACAGTGGTCGAAGCTAGTGAATTGAATACCAGACGGGGTAAAAGGTTCTTTTCCTATTGAATCAGATCTGGCATTAGTAGGAAAATAAAATAGGATACCAGATATTCCGACTACATGAAATAGAGCACCGGATAAGCCCCCAAGACTATCACTGGAGGTGTAAAAATGAGGAAATATCGCATCTATGCTTTGCGGATGATCTCATGGTGTTCAGCAATGGTGACTTATAATCTATTGCCATTATCAACAATGTCCTCCATATCTTTCAACATCTTTCTGGTCTCACCCCAAATAAATCCGGCTAAGAGTGAGGTTTTCATTTTATTTTTGTAAAGGAAACCACAAAGAATCAGATCACGAACATGCTGGGTTACAAGGAAGGAAAACTTCCCGTAAGGTAATTAGGGGTACCCCAACTTACGACAAAGCTCAAAGCTAGTGATTGCAAAGTACTTGTGGACAGAAAACCATCCAAACTTAAACATTGGACGGGTAGAAGCCTCTCCTACGCTGGCCGGTTACAGCTGATAAACTCCATCCTTTTCTCCATGCAAGTTTCCTCATTCTCCCTGGAAAAGTAGTTAAACAACAAGTAGAACAGCTAATGCGCTCCTTTCTCAGGGGTGGGACGGTACCTCTATCTATCTACGCAATATAGGAGTTCCATTCCAAAACGTACAGCACGGCCTTCCACGCCACCCAAACACCTATCGTCAGTCAACCTTCCCATCAGCCATTGCTCCACCAGCAGTAAGTTCTGCTCCTTTGAATTCCGGGGCTACGGTTCAATAAGTTTTTCAATTTAAAAAAAAGAGTGTTCCTCGGGCGGCACAAAACTAGAGATGTAGAATCACATCTTACGACATATGTACTGAGGAGATCATCACTCGGGAGACATGGTAACAAGCCTGGTAACCAGTTTCCTCCAATGTGGTCAACCTACCCAGATAAAATGTTGGCATACCAATCAGGGTTCCATCCTTCCAGTGAAGAAGGACTTGCTATAGCAGATTGGAACGGCTTTACTCTCTCTATATACGATACGATATTTTAGTCGCTTCTTTCTTTTTTTTATTTAATTGCAAAGCCGAAAGCAAACAGACCAACAAGCAAGAACGATTACTGATTCCCTTACTTACCCTAATCCCCAGGTTGCTATATCTAAAGCATCCGAAATGGATCCGCCTCCTTAATAGGGAAAGCCCTTTCCTTATTGATACTCGTTTTTATCCCGTATAACCAGGTCTTGTGTTCGGCGAACAATCCTGTTTTTTTATCCATCCGTTCCTGCTGCCTTGAAGGAATTCCCCTTCTTTTTCTTTGGCCAGAAATGGGGGAGACGGGAACTATGCCAATCCCCAATCACCAACTGAAAGAGAAACAAAACTTGAGAAAAGAAGTCAATCGATCAGCAAGACATGAAGCCAGGAGCTACTTTTCTCTTAGATTGGAGACTCAGGGGATTACTAGAAAGAGGTCAGCTACTTAACCTCTCAAAACGAGAGCTCCAGGGGATAGAAGATAAAGATGGTAGGCTAAGACAGAAGGAGTTCAAGTTAGATCCGCTAAGATCGAGTTGAGATTCCTAATTCAAGTAAGGGACTGAGTGGGCCGTTGGCTATGCTATTGAATGCGTTGTCGGAAGGATGGGAGGATAGAATACCCGAGACTAGCTGCCGGAAAGAGCTCATTAGAGGCATTCCACTTTCTTCCAATGAGATGTCTTACGCTTCATGATGGCATTTAGAGGGCTCTGCTCTGTAGCCAGAGTTAAGTAAGGAGCGAGGGATAGAAGGGATTCAAAAGGAAAGACTAAAGTAAAGTTTTGCAAGAAAAATAACTTATTAATCCAGCTGCCATTTCGCTAGATACCAGAAAGATAAGAGAGTTGACGTTGAGGTGGCACATCTCGACCGATAGGGCGAGGAAAGGCAAGAGAGCAGAAGAATCCACCTTATAGGACCTACGGCATCCTAAGGGACTAGCTCTTCCAACCTTTCTTTCAAGTAGCTCTTCCGCTTCTTCCTTATACAAGAATTAACCTATCCTTGCCCAGCTCATCTCACGGAAGGAAACTCTTGAGCCCCGCACTTCAAGATACTCAAACTCTAAAAGAGGCATTTCATATCTATCTTTCGTGCTAACAGAAGCCAACTACGGTATATCATCATACAATTGACATTGCCTTAACATCTAGTTTACGTAAAAAAGTATCGACGAAAAGGTGCATTGATGCCACGGTCCTACTGAAGTTCTCTACAGGCTAGCGTACTACAGGGAAAGGAGGAAATGTTCATATTTGAATCTCTCCATAAATAAAAATAGACTGAGCTTTCGAGGTGGAGAAACTGCTCAGCGTGCGTTAGAATGACTTTGTCTCAGTGGAAGAGGGCAGAGAGTTTACACGAATTAAAGACAGGATAGGCCCAAGCAAAGAGCAGGCTTCACGAATGCTTAGCTCAGAACCTAAACTGCTGGCTTTCTCGCATTGAAGGTATCTGTTGAGGGAATCTATCCCAAAGGTAGGCCCAAGGCTGCTTAATGAGCGCCCCTTGAAAGAACAAGAGCTGCATTCATTCCACCTGCGGAAGTCTCTTAACCACCTCTAAATGTCCCCTTTTGGCTAGTATTATCAAAAATCTAGAAAGAAAAGTGGGGGCTTAATAGAGCTTGCATCTAAGGCGAGGGAGTGAGATGAATCTCTTTCTTTTCGTCTCGTTAAGTGGCCTTGAGCCTGAATTCTGGCACAAGAGATAGTCAGACTGTCTCTTCTCTTCTAAGGTGTGGGCTTGCAAGAATTAAGTAGTAAGAAGTCCTCGAATCGGGAAATGAGCTAGCCTTAAAGGAAATATTTTTATAACCTGAAGTCTCTTTCATGAGCTCAGCTTTAGTGCCACGTTCAAGCTCAAAGCAGGGAAAGGCAGGTATGAACTCATACTAGTTAGCCTGGATTGGCACCTCTTCTCGGAAAGATTCCACTCGATCTAACTCAAAAAATGAATCTTTCACTGGATAAGGAAGAGTAAGGTTAGCAAGTCCTCAAGCAGCTTCTAGCACCTAAGAAAATCGTTTCGAGTAACCTAACTTCCAAGCATGCATGAGATTCTATCTTATATATAAAATGCACTTAAGCTGTAATAATAAGATAATCAGTATCATTCTATTTCCAGCTAAGAAAGCATGTTGAATGATCTAGCTTCCCAAACGAGCTCACAAGCGAGTGGAACGGAGTAAACAAGAAATAGAGCATAGAAGTGGAATATCTTCTATTTACGTGCTGGTGATTGAGCTGGAGATAAAGTCTCTTCCTCTCCTTTACTTACAGTCGAGCTCTATTAACATAGACCCTATAGCTTAGCTCGAGTAACTACGTGCCTTTAGCTCTAGTTCAGTTACACTTATTAACACGAAGGCTAGTGCTAGTTGAGATCAGGGATGGACTCTAACTGCCCCGCTGGCCGGAGGGAAAAAGAACTCCATAGATTGAGTAAATTTACACAAACAGAAGGAATATTGGCCTATTGATCTTGACCAGCCTCGACAGGTTCCACAGCATTTGTAATTAATTTCAGTTGCAGAAGTATGGTAGAAGTTTGTGCAACTGCAGGCTCGGCTTAGTAGGTAGCAGTCCCCTAGGTCAGACTTTGAGTTTTCTTTATTTCCATCTTAGAGGTACGTAGTTCTCGACTGTAAAGGAGATGATGGAAGACTTAGCAACTTAGCAATTACGTAAGCTTTTGAATTACAAGTAATTCTTACGGCTTTGGAATACCTTATAGTTGCAAGCAAGAGCAGAGCGAAGGTTCGGAGATCTCGAGCGAAGCCAGGAAACAGAAAGTCTTATTATTAGCCTTACCATTACAGTGAGCGAAGAAAGTTACCTAGACTAATAAGGCGAGACTTAGGGACCTAGCTAGATTCACTAGCACCGTCTACTCTCACAGCGGATAGGGATTCCGTTCCCTTTCTAACTGTAAGAGCTGCTACGGATATAAGTCCCACAGATCCCCCTTCTCGAGCTTATTCCTTTTAAGAGACTGATGCCAACTATGAATATACGATCGAATGCGCTCTTGTCTATTTTTAGACTTCTGACTTTTTTTTTGCCTTTGATCTTTTAAGCCTTCCCCAACGGAACAAATGCTGCTGCTCCTTCTGTTCAGAGTTCGCATGACTTCGCTCTCGTTGTGCGTGGACTTCCTAATCGAACTAAGATGGATCGGGCTGTTGGCTCAGAGAAGGTTTTATCGGGGAAGGAATAAGAAAAAGCTTTGTTGACTGAAGAATAAAGAATTTATTTTCCATGGGAGGGGAAGCTAACTTAACTTCAACTGAAAGGTGGGGCTGTGAACTAAAACCAGGTATCTGGAACTGGAATGGTGTTCAAACAGAGATTCCACATAAATAGAATCTGGAGAAGGAGAATCAGACATGGGATACCAATATGGGAGGGCATATAAGTATATTACTTTGGGGATCCCTCTGAAAAAGTAGCTGCAAGACCGAACGAAGCAGATGTTGAGACAAGTAGCGGAGTTTAGTCCTTTTCTGAGTCTTTGGAGTTTGGGCACGAGAGTAACTCGACTTCAAGGCCAAGGTCCGAAGATGTTGTCAATCTTGATTATGGCAAGGTAGGACACATAAGCCTAACCCCGAGCTGAGCTAGAGTTTTGTCTTTTTATTTTTAGGTATAGTTCAGTAGCAGGAGGGGTAGGAGTCATTCCCTAGAGCTCAAGTGAGGAAGGGGAAATGAGACAAAGGCTAACTAAGGACGAAGTACGGAAGATTCTTACTCCCAGGTGAAGGTTCTAGAATAAGGATAAGGAAGTCCACCGGGATTGGCTTAAAGCTAAGCCAGGTGCTATAGGTGAGGAAGGTTTTAGAAAGCTAGAGTCCGGAAGTGAAAGATGAGCCAACACTGCCCTACGTTCTACCCTTCCAGCAACTAGTGAATAAGCATACCCAGGTTCTAGAAGTAAGAATAGTAGTCAGTTTACTTGAAAAGTAATTCCCCTGTTGAGGCTAGAACGATTCTATCAGTACTAACGAATGCTCCTTTACTAACTCAACCTAACGGATTCGGCATCATTACTATACAATCTTTTTCCTTGAAAAAAGTACAGTATATTATTATTATTCTACTAGAAGTACTCGATTTTGTGTTATACTAACTACTCTATATATCAGTACGTTCGAAGAATCGAATATTTTTCTACTGGTTCAGCAAGCTAGCCGAACTATCAAACAAACAAAAATCACAATAATAAGGATCGAAGGGCTATTCTCCTAACAGTAAGTACTAGGACTAAGACATTCCCGGAGGTTCCTACAATTGAGAAAAAGTCTCCATACGAGCAGTCTTGATGCCATCCTATCCTTCCTACAAACTAAATATGTATAGTGGGAGCCTCCTACGAACCAGTTGCAGTTGTTTTGCCATTCGCTGGGGTTGAAGTTTCTTATCAGCCGGAGATCCTAGTTTCTTTTTCTTCTCCTATAGAATTGACTTACTTACTTTATACTTTAGAGTAAGACTTTCTTCCCAGTTATAAAAATAATCTCACTATCAATCAGCTTGAAAGACATCAGAATCAAAGGCAAGCCCATCTAAGATAGTTTGAGTGTTTGCTTAATCTGATACTTCCCGAGCTTTTCTTTTGCCTGTGCGGAGTCCTTAGTGCTTCATTTCTTCGGTCCCGAGCAAATTTAAGCTAGAAAAGCGTAGCTCTCATGATTTATTCGGACCATTGCTCTATTTTTTAGTCGTATCAGCTTTGATTTGACTTTCCTTGTCCGTCGAGTTAGTAGTCGATCTAGTAAGATTCTTGTATGATAAGTAGCCCATTCTCTTAGGCTTCCCTTCAGGCCTAGTAGTAATTCTTCTTTCTACTCCATCAAGATGGTCAGTGCCACTGTCTTTCTTGATTCATGTAGGATGGGTTGGTTAAGGCGAAGCAGGTTATCAAGAATCCATTCAATTAGATGCTGGTTCATTGGCCTTGCCCCTTTCCACTCCTTCACCTCTTTAACTGGGGGACAGGCAGTTGAACTCAAAGCTGCTGGAACGAGAGTTTAAGAAAGAGGCGGAACATCGCTCTCCGTGGCAGCAAAGGGAAAACGAGATATTGATTCAGTCGGAGATAGACTTTCGATGAGCTCCAGTAGATGCACAATGAGATTCACCCTGTATTGACGGTGTTAGTGCTCTATATCAAATCATTCTGTTTCGGAGTACCTCTTTACTGTAAGATGTCTAACAATGCCTTCATCTTTGCAGAACTTATTGAAATCACAGAACTCCAACTTGGATGTACTCTGACCAGAAAGAAGACCTCTCTTGCTCAACATTGTCAGGCCTTTCTCACTCATGTGTCCCAGCCTCATGTGCCATAATCTGGTTTCATCTGAATCTGACATGGAGGAAGATACAGCAGCTGTGCCTGTAATGGTAGACCCTTGCAACACATACAATCTACCAATCTGATGAGCCTTCATCACAATTAGAGCACCCTTCACAACCTTCAAAACACCATCACCTAAAACAAATTTACAACCACCAAGAGAGATCTAAAGTGGTCAAAGAGATAAGATTCTTTGACATGTCTGGAACATGCCGCACCTCAGTTCTCACCACACCGTCGTGCATTTTGACCGAACCAATACCAACTACATTGCAGGGGTGATCATTGCCCATCAACACAACTCCACTGTCAACCGATAGGATTGGAGCGTCATGGCAATTCGTTCTTGACTTTAGACTAAGGTAAGTCGAAATTCGGTTGTTTTTTTTCATTTTATATAGAAGAAAAATCCATCCGCTCTTCTTCTTCCTTTGAATAAGGAAAGTTACTTGGAATCTTTCTCTCTCTCTCTTTGTCTCATTGCTATCAATCAACGGTTCGAAAGCCAAGGAAATAAAGTGGAAAATGAGGGTTGTGACTGGACACCACATCGGTGAGGATTGCGCTATGCCACCTGTCCGTCCTTACCTGGGTGGGAGTACTGCAAAGCTAACAGTAGGTCAGACAGGTCTGGGATCATCTTTCGGCTGGAACAACCTTTATTATGGGCATGATCAGCTAAAGATCACTGTCATCTCACGAATTGGATTCGAACCAATATCAAAGACTTTACTTTATTAGATCGTGAGTCTATCTGTCGTCCTCCTCATTCTATTCAAGTCCTTTTAGTAACAATCCATTCCCCGAATACAAAAAATGGAGATGAAAAATATTAGTCGACCTTATGTCGGGAGTTAACCTGGTGATAGCCTAACTCCCTTAGTTAGTCAATGAAGTTGTTCCAAATGGAACAGCGAGCGGTGCCAAAGTTGCGATTGAGCACACGGAAATGCTCAAGACGCTCATCGATGTCGTGCTCCCAGTCGTCATGGAGAGCCACCTCGAGCGCATGCTTCACATCCTTTGGTTCCTCGAGAATGATCCCCTTCCTTCTTCTGCAAGAGAATGTGGGCTCTGTCTATCATGGCTGTTTTTACAGGCCATATTGATAGCATCAATGGCCCTATATAAATGGTCATCCTCAGGTTCCGGCATCCTCTGCTGTGCCACCCAGTGTTATGCGCCGGCTGAACAGCCGACTGCTGGTTGGAAGTGGGCAGGTCCCCTCGGTTCAGGGCTGAAGAGACCTCCTGGTCGAACGCTGTTGGATTTACATTTTTTTTTTATGGTCCGGCTTCTCCTCCCTCCCTGGGGGTTATATGTGAAGGCCCCACTTCGTCATTCAAAAAATTTCGGATAAAGTAACAATCAGACGAAGTAAAAGGCCAAGAAGACGAACTAATGGAGGGAGACGTTTTGGATTGCTGAGGTGAGGGTCCTGGTTTCTGAGGTGCTTGATCACCAGGATGCTCAGGAAGCTGGTGATTTGGTTCTTGTTGGATTTCGGGGAACTGCTCCCTTTCCTCCGGGGGAGGCAAGGGAGGAGAGTGAGGGAAAAGAGTAAGAATCGTCTGATAAATAAGATATATTCCCGTCGGCACAATCAGTAATGACTATGATGGGAATTCCGAATAAATAAAAAGAGGAATAAGAAAGCAAGAAAAAGGGACAACTTTCGTGTAGTTTGTGAGCGCTTCCTCTTTAGGTTGATAGATCTATAATTGGGGAGGGGCTCTTGGCTTTCTATACGTTGTTGTTTCCTGACCACGAGATGTTATGTTTGCTAACAAACTAATTGGTAGTAGGCTGATCTACTTTCCTCTTCTGATTGATACCTTATCCTCGGGGTCTGACTTGGCCTTTCATCCATCCTCCGATTCTCCATTGCTCTGATCGAGGTACCCGACCTCTACTCTTGATTCTTGACTAACTATGGTATGGCTCCTACTTTTCACTAAGGCAAGCCCTACCGACGCCCTGAATCAAACCTCTCACCCCGGACTCTGCCAGTCTCCTAGTAGTTGCAGCAGGAAGCCATAAAAGAGGCAATCCCATATCTCTGGGAAAAAGGTAAGACCGGATACCGGTCACAGGGACAGGGGAGGGAGTGAACCCAGGTTTTTTATTCCGCTATCACAGTGAAGCAGATGAAAGAAAGTCTTTCCCCGAAGCAATCATGTTCCGGCTTTTAGTGATAGGGCGGGCTTCCGAGCGAACAGGAAAGGAGCAAATCCAGCTTCCTTCGTAGCCGTCAGTAGTCGGATGATGATAAAATAATAGATTTCTTTGTGTTAAGCAAATGAGTGGAACACAATAGGAATCCTATTTTAACAGAGTCCAACACTTCACAATGAAAGAAGAATTGAGCAACGCAACGAAGTCCAACGATAGAGAGCGGACAGATGAGCTAGATGCCGATAAGGTGACGGAGGGTTTTTTTCCTCCCTCTAGGATGCTTGGTTGGAGTTGGGAGTTCGGAAAGAGTGACTCGCATTAGACTTTCCATTTTCATCCCCTTCAAATCAGTGCCAAAATCTATCCTGCTCCCTCTCAGCTGAACCCGACTCAACTGTGCCAAAAAAGACCTCCTCATCCCTCCATGTCTTCAATATCAGTTACCACAAACTGTTCCATAATAAAGTAAGTATCCCGTTCTGCACTGCTATCTTCAGCTCACCAACTGTAGCATACGGTTCCACCATTATAAACACGCCGGGTGTCAATTCCCTCGTCAACTCATTTTCTAACTCCGCATCACTCTTAAAATGAATCTTAAAAGTAGATGTAGTGGATAAGCTCTCCGTGTTGGGGTAGGATTGGATCCTTTAGGAGAGAGACATAAGGTATTAAGAAATGGAAGAAGGTCTTTGACGATCCAGTATTAGCTAGCGGACTCATACCTTGATGACTCCCTAGTGGCCAGGGAAGCGTTAGCTTCACCCTTGGAACGTATCATCTACTCTCTAACGCTCTCTCTTCGGAAAAGCAGCTTCACTCCGCTCTTATCTCTAGCGAGAGAGCATCTCTCTCTGTCAGGCGATTTCCTAAGGGGAGAATCTAGGTTTCAGAGTTCATCAGTCCAAAGAAAGACTCCTGCGCCATCCATTCTTCCAGTATGAACCTGTTTCATAGCATACATCGTAGAAGACGGAACTCCTTGATTACCTTCTCAACAACCCTTCTTCTCTGGTGGAGTGACCAGTTGACTTTCCTTATCGACTTTCATCAGCGCACTAGCTTATTGCTAGACTTTGACCCTCGAACTAGCTGCTTTGACTTGCTATCTAAGAGACTAGCCTGGAGAGATAGGAAAGACGCTCTGCTCTAAAGGGATACTCAAAAAAAGGCAAGTCGATGCCCGGATTGACAACTTGATGTCGCAAGATCGGTTGTTAAAAGACTAAAGCCCACCTTCAAGCTAAAAGTCTAGTCGTATTTATTACTTATTCTTTCTTCTTCCGCCATACCCAAGAGTCATTCACTCCCTAAAGAGATTTGAGAAGAGTCACTAAGATAAGAGTTGTTATAGGATTTAACGAAAAGAGGTTTATAGTAAGTGTGCCGCTAATTGGCATATCTCTTTGTTGTAGAGACCTTCCTTGCCCTGCTTAGGGCTATGTGATAGCACCCAAAGGGACCTATTCTATTTGAACAAGACCACATAAACTATAGTCATACGGTCAACCGAACCAAAGCCAAAGCTAAATCCTCTGCCCTTCGCTCCTTCCCCGGCTCCACTCCAGAGCAATGCCACGACCCGGTCGAGAGCCTTCCATGCAGATTCCTTCAAAGAGAAAGAGAGTGTGTATTCCCGGCATCAATGCAAAAACTTCCCGGTCCGGGAACAAGAGCAATTATTGGTCCCACCAAACCATGCCATGAACAGTACAACAAGAGCAGGGGATATTGAAACTAAGACTCATTCCGTCTATTGCTCTACCTTCCTCCTACAGATTTAATTGCATCGTTTATTCCTATTCCGGCAAAACTAGCTGCTGACTCAACCTCCCCTCGGGTCTACGCCCTCGATGTTTTAACATCGGCGATTGAAAGAGAGTAGGAGCGCATTCTCTCCATCTCAGTTGGAAAGTCTATCGCTCTCAGCAGCAGTTCCTTGGTCATACCCTCGGTGATGACTAGCAGTCCTTCCTGATTGAGTTCTCACCCTCTATTGATAGATCAAGAGTTCCGGCCCGACTATGATTCCATCAACAAACCCGATTCGGTATAAAAGCTTAGCTTCTATTACAATAAAATATTTTGAAAAGAGCTATCCTAAAGCTTGACAGGTCTCCCCAACTCAGTTTTTCACTCGAAAACCGAAAGCATAAGGATGAGCCTTGGGCCCCCTTTCCCAAGAACAGAAGGAGCGTTTAGATACTGTACCTTTAGGTGCGTGCAGGAGCAAGGACGAAAGGAGAACAAGTCGCAGGAGAAGCGTTGAAGAAGCAGTAGTTTAAGCCATTGATCCTGCAGCTTAGCTTCTCAAAAAAAAGAAGAAGCACCAGCAGACAGAGGTAGATACAGAGCCATAGGCAAACCTTCATGATCGATAGCCTTTTATGAAAACGACCCTCGTGCTCGAGAGGCGGATCCAAAGGCAGTCGCTTACCTAGGAGCATACTTCGGTGTAGCATAGCGGCATACCCCTTTGACCTAGGTGGAAAAGAGATCTATTGAAACCCACCATAAGTCGGAGACAGCTGCGGATACTTATTTACCATAAGCAAAAGCGGCTACTGAGGCGAAGGCAAATAAGGTTCCGTTCCATGGAAGGAAAAATAAATGGAAATAAAAATAATAAAAGGTCTGATCAAATCTTTTGCTTTCTTGTTGTCTTGAATTGTTATAGAACGGCTATTTATATAAGGTCTAGTTGGTAGGATGAAGTGGGATGTGAAGCCTTAGTGGATATAGCAAGTGTGCCGGGGATGCGGCTCGGGCGTAGTAGGTCTGGACGCCTAGCATGAAACAGCCTTCTCTGGTAGCGGCACTATACCTTAGTATAGTCTCTCTCTAGCTTCCAGTCTATATAAAAAAACTTAGTTAGCAGAGGTCAGTCTGTCTGGCGTTCCCTCGCGTAAAGGGCTACTTTGGCATCGGCTCTCTCTCGTTAGGTAATTACCGAGGCGAAAGCAGCTCTCTCGGAAGTTAGTTTCCCCGCCATCTTAGTGGGACTAGTCTAATAAACTTTCACTTCAACTGCCTTACTCTAACAAGTAAGCAAGTAAACTACCAAGACTCAGATTTTTTTTTTGTGGTAACGCCCTTCTAATACATTTTTATTTTTATTAATATTTTATACTAAAAATACCATTTTTTCAATATACTTATATTTTTGTACAAATTAATACATTATTGTATATAAATAATAAATAATACTATTTATTTAAGAAATTAGGGTTTTGTCCTAAAAAATAAAATAATTGAAATTAACTTTTTATTTATTTACATTTCACATTAAAAATACTTTTTACATACATAAAAATCTTTTTTGCATAAATGCATTTTATTTAATATTTATTTATTGTATTTATTTAAATATTGTACATTTAAATATTATGCCTTGTACATTCGATTTGGTTGTAATAATTTAGAATTTAATTTCTTGCAAAATAATCCCCAATTCAAATTTGTACCCCCTCCCTATATCATGTTGTAATAGTGTAGAATTTAAATTCTCGCACCTTTAAATTCTTTCAATTATGCCATGATTAGACCTAGGGTTTGTATGCAAAAATCAAATTAACAAATAGCTTGACCTAATCCAAGATAACAATGCATGAAAAACAAACACAATGCACACTTGCACCCCTAGGGTTACAATCCACTTGTTGCCTTCAAAAATGGGCCATGGTTGCATGTCAAGTACTTTGGCAAAACAAAAACAAAACAAAAGATCAAGTCCCTCGATGACGCTATCTGAGTTGCCTAAACAAAATGATCAAGTCCCTCAAGAAAATTGCCAAAAATACTTGACACTATTGCTATCATGGTCTATACGATGACCCGCGCCTATCCCGTTTAACATCCTAACACAAGGTTGTTCACCAAATACAATGGTGAAACAACACTGTTAAAAGGGGTAAAAACACAAGAAAGATATTTGAGTAAAATAGGGTAGACAAATCTTAGTTACTTGATCAAAGCTTGCAAAAACATCCTTGCTATCTTCAAAACACACACCACAACACAATTTCAAAACCCTACTTTCAAACATTGGAAACTTTTCAAAAGACAAAAACACCTTTGTATACATTCAAACAAGAATCATTACAAAGGTTGCCACAACGATGGCCTCTTTTCAAAACATCTTTCAAAACCACACACAAAGCACCATTTCAAACAATTGAAGAGCACCATTTCAAACAATTGAAAAGCAAAGCAAGTGATCTAAGCAAGTAACTAACAGCCCATGGATAACCATGGATAGAAAGGGTGCTAATACCTTCCCTTTCTATAATCTACTCCCCGAACCCAAGAAAACATCTCAAAGGTCTTTCATGTGCTTTTTGACCTTTCCTTAGGATAAAATAAAAAGTCGGTGGTGACTCTTGCTAAATCGAAACATTTGCGAACACAAACGCAAAATCCTAAGTCTGTTCTCCCACCGTATCACACTGTGGCACTGTGAGGCGTGATTTCTGAAGGTTTTAAGGCTTGAGGATGATTCGAATGGATTCAGAAGATGTCCAGGAACGGATTGCTGGCCTTGGAATTGCTTGAAACGGCCTGTAGAATCTAAACAGACCTGCACTTTTTTGACAAACAATTGAGACTTGTCTTCCTTCTTTCATGACCCCAATACTCTTTTATTCTTTAGAGATGTTAGGTATATATGATATAATGATTTAGGTCAACAAAAACTGGTCATATCTTTACAAATTATGGAGATTTGATTTCAGTCTTTGCCTTGTATGATTTGTTTCCAAAATAGACCAAATTAAGATCTTTTCTAATCAATTAGCTCTTGCAAGAATTTTTTGATTTGCTAGCTGTTCATCGACTCATAATATGCTCATCAAATAAAATCTTTGATTTTATTTGATTATTCTACTATTTAAATTGATTTATTTTGATTTAAATGGATAAAAAATCAAAATGAATAATAAAAATAATAAAATAATAGGTGGATAAGCTCAGGGGTCGTGGGTCCTCTTAGGAACAAGTTTCAAACAAGAAAACACGGGCCCATTTGGAAAAAAAAAGTCATTTTGATCAATGTTGACTTCATGCATATTTCAAAAATTGGTCAACTTTGACAATACACGTCTCTCTCATTTTTAACCCTAAGAAGGTGTTCTTTGACATTTTAGAAAGCTTATGAAACCTCATGCAAGCCTGAAACTAGGGTTTTGTGTGAATTTCCTATGAGAGAGGTTTTGAGGACAGGTTTTGAGCCAACTAAACTCAAGAGGGTATTTACCTATGAAACCTCATGCAAGCCTGAAACTAGGGTTTTATGTGAATTGCTTGTACATGTGTTTGTGCATACATCATGAACATCATAAAGCATCATATGCATCCACTAACCATTTCAAGGGTTTGGATCTTCATCTTTGTTCTTGTTTTGTAGGTCATGGAATCTCTTCGCAGGAAAACAATTCAAGTCAACCTTGTGAGAATCCCTCCTCAACTCAAGGAGCTTACTTCTAGGATTTCAGAGAATTCTCTCTTCAGTGAAAGACATGGTAGACTCCTCAACTTGGTCAACACCATCATTGAAGAAGACATGATGAAAGTCCTCTTCCAGTTCTTTGACCCCCTACACCACTATTTCACATTCCCTGATTACCATTTAGTACCCACTTTGGAGGAATTTTCTCAACTCCTGAGAATTCCTATTCTTAATCAACTACCCTACAACGGTACGGAAAAAGAACCAATGCCTGAAGATGTTTCTCAAGCATTACATTTGCAGCCATCTGACATCAAGGGACATTGGGAAACCAGAAGTGGTGTCAAGGGTTTCTTGGAAAAGTTTCTGTTTGAGAAGCACAAGACTGCTAGAATTCTCTTGATCTACAAGCCTTTGAAGAGATTGTGGCACTCCTTATCTATGGGTTGGTCTTGTTCCCAAACCCTGATCAACTTATAGATGTGAATGATGTCAAGATTTTCATATCCTGGAATCCTATACCTACATTGCTTGGGGATATCCTACACTCACTTTACACACGAACAATGAGGAAAAGAGGTGTTCTCATGTGCTGTACTCCTCTCCTAGCAAGGTGGTTTATTTCTCACCTTCCACAACCAGTTCTGAAGAATGAGCAGGGTGTAAGGTGGTCACAACGGTTGATGACCCTCACACATTCTGATGTACATTGGTGTTCTCGGTCCAGAGAAAATGTCATCATCATTGATCGTTATGGGGAATTCCCTAATGTCCCACTAATTGGCATTAAGGCAGGCATTACCTACAACCCTTGTTTAACTCCAAGACAGTTTGGATATGCTCGGAGGGATGGCCCTCATGACATGCTGATTCCTGACCTAGTTTTTGACTTCGACAACGATGCGCAGGGACATCGACAAAGGTTCATCAGAGCTTGGAGGATGCCCAACAAAGTGGATAGTAAGACACTGAGGCACAAGAATTCCATCCCCCTTGAGCCTTATCTCAAGTGGGTATGAACCCGCTCCCAGAATCTTATGATGCCATATCCTCACATTCTCCCCGTGATCAAAGAGCCTGTTATGGAATGAGAGGTTCCATACACCATCCTACATCCTGACATTCCAACATCATGGGAAGAAATGCAAAAGAGTTGTATCCAACTCAAGGAAGAATGGAATACTTTTGAAGCGAGCTTCTATGCCAGTGAGAAGAAGGTTTTGGAGCTTACCTGCCGACTTCATGAGGAGGAAACTCTCAACACTTATATCGCACCAAAGAGGATGCGCAATGTCTTTTTACATTAAGAATTTTGTAATATTTTGCCCATGGGGCACTTATGTACTAACAATTTCTTCTTAATATGACGTGTGTTCCTTTTTGTTTGCAACAAATTTGAATTTCTGAATCCTTGAATGCATTACATGAATAACATACCATTCATCATATGCATAAACACGTCTTCACACCAGGTTTCCTTATCTTTCTGTTGTTTATTTCAGCA